CTGGACATGGGGCGGGGGACCGTGGAGAGACTGGACATGGGGCGGGGGACCGTGGAGAGACTGGACATGGGGCGGGGGACCGTGGAGCGGGGCTGGGCAGAGGGAGGGGGACAACAGAGAGAAACAGGACACATGTGGGGCTCCAGCCTGGACTCCCCAGCCCTGAGAGAGGATGCAATGGGGAATGAGGCCCCTTGAGGACAGCAGAGAACGGTCACAATAAGTTAGGCACAAGAAAATCCCAAGGACAGCAGAGAGGACACCCCAGCCTTGGCCCAGCAGCCACAGGAACAGGGGTACACTCACCACCCTGCTTGCTGCGGTCAAGATAGATGGAAACTTTTCGGGCCAGACCTGGGAGGAGACAGGGTGGGGGAGGGGTGCACGGTGCGGTCAGCAGAGTAGTCGGTTAATGTGGGACAGTCACACCAGGCAGGGCCACGCAGTGAGACACACGAATCAGTGGACGGCAGGCAAGTCCACACGTGCTCAGTTCAGAGGCCACTTCTTTGGCCTCCTACCACAGCCTACACCCCACACCAGGGCCTGCACCCCACTTCCATAGCCTTGTTTGACGGGGACTAAATGGAACCTCAGAAGAGCTAGGAGTCTTGTGAGGACATTGCCTGAGGACACTGGCCCTGATCCCCATGGCTTCCTCAGTGGGGAGGCACAGTCAGGAATCCTCTGAAACCCTGGGATGTGAGGACCTGGGGTGCAGCAAGTTAGGGGCCCTGCAGTGGACAGGTAGGTGAAGCTACGGGGGAGGGGCCTTGGAAAGAAGGCCTGAGCGATACACTGAGCTGCTTCAATGCGGAGCATTTGGCCCAAAGAAGCCGCTCCATCAAGGCTTTAGGGGAAGTCCCCCCACTGACTGACTCGGGGTGCAGGGTTCTGGCCTGGAATTCACCTGTTGTCCAGCAGAATGTGTTGGAGCCCGCAGAGGGGTCCCAGAGGGGTGCACACGGGAATGTGCGTGAACTCAGACTTCCCACGTAGATGTGTGTACGTGTGAGTGGATGCACTTAGCTCCATGGTTTGCACAGGTGTGCAGAGTTTTTGCACGTGGGCCTGTATGTGCACAAGTGTGCATGGACACGTGGGTGCACGAGCGTGCATCTGAGTATGAGTGTATGCACGCATCACTACTGCACCCAGGTGTGCCCGCGAGTGTGGTGTGGAGGCCCAGCGGTGCGTGTGCCCGCGAGTGTGGTGTGGAGGCCCAGCTGTGCGTGTGCCCGCAGTGGGAGGCCCAGCGGTGCCCGCAGTGTGTGGTGTCGAGGCCCAGCTGTGCGTGTGCCCGCAGCGTGTGGTGTGGAGGCCCAGCGGTGCGTGTGCCCGCAGCGTGTGGTGTGAGGCCCAGTGGTGCGTGCTGTTAGCTCTAGGCTCTGTGTGCATGTTTAACTGTGGGCACATACATGCTCACACACACAAGACACCGAGGGGCCACTAGACTCCTGGGAGCCAGGTGAGGGGGACGAGTGCAGCCTCCTCTCCCCGCATGTGTCACGGGCTCAGATCAGGAATGGGGGGCCCTCCGTGAGCAGCCAGGATAGAGGCCCACACCCTCATCCAGTGCACGCCTCTGGGCTGCCGAGGATGCGGCCCACTCCACTCCTGTGTGCAGCGTCTTCTCCCACCTGGACTTGCAGTGGAATAGTGAGGTGTATGACTATGAATCCTTCTGGAGCCTGAGAGACCTCAGATAGCTCTGCTCTGCTCTGCTCTGAGAATGTCCAGGCCTTGGGGAAGAGTCACCCCTGCTGGACAGAGGACCAAGAGCTGCTATAGCAGTGGGATCTAGGGTGGCTGCTGGGCCCTGGTAGGAAGGTGTCTGTGGCCACTTGAGCTCCCTCCCGGGGACCTCTGCCAGCTGGAAGAGGAGACACCCTCACCAGGTGGGGGAATCTGGAGGACACGGCCTTAGAAACACAGACAAAGTGGACCTGTGATCAGGACAACGCAGGGTGTGTCCTGTGCTCAGAGCTGCAGGCCCAGGCAGGCTGGGGATGGTGGGATGGAGGGCGGTGGAGGAGCAGGTCTCGCCCAGAGCAGGGTCACGATGGAACATAGGCACGGAATGATCCCATCACGCGATAAACCAGAGTTGCTACAGGGCGGAAGGCAGCACCCTCCATCTACTACAGGCCTGTGCTGACACAGGGGGCTTCCTGGGGTGGGGCCTGCAACACCGCCCTTCACAGGAGACACAGGGGTGGAGAACACGCTGAGGGGGCGACTTCAATGTCCCCAAGAAGTAATCAGCAAGAGGCGAATGCATCCTTTGGATTCAGGCCTGTGCTAGGAGGAGGCTCCTGGGTGCGTGGGGACAGATCTCCAAGGAGCATCAAGGCGACAGCTGCTGAAGGAGACAGAGAGTGCCTTTCCCTAGAACTGGTGCCCTCAGCACGGAGCCTGCTGTTACAGCCTTCTCTTGTGGTGTCAGCCACAGGGTCTGGAGAGCTGAGACCGTGCCCTTGACTGGGTGGTACTACCCTGCACCTGACTGCTGGAGAGACTTCTATCGGGAGCTTGGACAGGAGAAAGTCAAAGCAACTAAGGCCCTGGGGATGGTGGCGGGCTTGTCCTACGGACAGAGACCTGCTCTGTGGACAGTGAGTACCTTGTGGACAGAAGATCTACCCCATGGAAAGTGGAAGCTTCTCCATGGACAGTGGACCTGCCCCATTGATGATGGGCCTGTCTGGTGATGGTCTTTATCACGGACAGGGAATTTGCCTCAAACACTGTGGGCCTTCCCTATGATCAGCTCTCCCATGGAAAGTGGGCCCACCCTGAGGACAGTGGGCCTGCCTCACAAATGTTGGGTATTCCTTATGGAAGATATGCTGGGCCTGCTGTGTGGATGGGCCTCTCCCATGGACAGTGGGCCTGCTATGTGGACAGCGGGCCTGCCATGTGGACAGAGGGCCTGATGGACAGTGCCCAGCGAATACATCATGGTGAGTGGGCAGACCTATTGGCTTCTTGCCCCAGTAAGACTCAGGGGACAAGTGTTTTAAGTTCCACTTGTGCAGGAAGCCAAGCACAGGACGGCACAGTGCGCGATGCCCACGCCTGAGTGAGCCAGGATCATAGCCGTTGAGCATTGCAGGCAGGTGCAGGGCTGTGCCCCGGGCAGCAGAGTGAGGTGGCGGCAGTAGTGGCCACCTGGCCCTGCCCTTGGGCCAGGCAGGTCTGCTTGTGTAGATGCCCAAAGCAAAGGCAGACACCCCAGCATGCGGGCACGCCACACAGGAGCGAATCGTGGCCCTACACCCATGAGGCACTGCCACTCATGCAGCCCTAGGGCCGGTCAGCAAGTGCTGTGCTGTGCCTGGTGAGGCAGCGTCCAGCCCAGGGCGTGGCCGGAGCCAGTGGCCTTCACAGCTGCCCTGCTGCAGGGGCTGCTGAGTGCAGGGTCTGATGATGTCCTGCTGGGACCTCCTGATAGGGACATGCCGAGTTCCCTGTGTCAGGCCAGCTGACTCACCTCGTGTTGTGGGCAGCATGTCGGAGAGTCCCTGCCACGCGGTCACCATCTCGGGGTTCTTCTCCAAGTCCGCAAAGTTCTTCCAGACCCTGATGGCACCATCATCTGAGGAGGAGAGGAGGGGCTGTGAGCTGTCGCCAGGCCTCATGTGCACGCGACGGCACAAGGCTGAGCCTCTGGTGAGGGTGAAGGAGGGTGGCCTGTGGCCAGCACTGACGCCCGTGTCCCTCCCCGCCTGCAGCCAGCACTGACGCCTGTCCCTCCCGGCCTGCGGCCAGTGCTCTGACAGCCATGTCCCTCCCGGCCTGCGGCCAGCGCTCTGACAGCCATGTCCCTCCCGGCCTAGTGCTCTGACACCCACATCTCCCCGCACCCTGAGATTCCTGCCTGTGTGGGCAGCACCCACCAGAGTCCCAGAGTCAAGGGACTCCTCCCTCCACCGCCCCTCCAGGTGAGGCCTGGCCATGCTAAGCACTCACCAGTGGCCGTCAGCAGGAGCGAGCAGTCATGACCATTGAGGTACTCCATGGCGGTGACCCTGGTATACCGAGGGTTCCCGTTGTGGAAATAATCCAGCTTCTCCCCCTTCTCCCAGTCCCAGAAGCTGGAGGGAACAGATGAGTGGTCAAGTGAAGGCCTGCCCCATGGGGACCCGGCACCCTTCCCGGTGCACGGGTGACCCCGGAGCCCTCTCCAACCTTGTGCTGGGTGCCCACCCATGTCCTAACTGACGAACCCACAGTTCAGGCAGGGCCAGTTCTTGGCACGTCCTGACAGTTTTCTGTGTGGGCCAATACAGAGACCTGAGGGCACTGAGCAGGCATGAGAGGGTGGACTGCCAGGGCAGTGGGCTCAGGCCTACCAGATGCTGTCTTTGTCGGCCACGGCTACGCACGGCGTGAATGGGTGGAACTTGACCACTGAGGGCACGCCTGGGTTCCGGTTGAGGAATATCTGGTCATCCAGGCGGGTGATGCCTGCCAAGAGGACAGAGAAGCCTGGGGTCACAGGGGCAGGAGGGGGCAGAGGAGGGCCAGGGGGCTGCCGTCCAGAGGGTGGGGTGTCCCAACCACAGCATCTGTGCCTCAGCTCAGTTCCTGTCCCCAGCTCCTGGCATAAAGCTGGACACATGGCGTGGACTTGGTCAGCTGTCCAACCCAGTCTAGACAGTGTGCTCTACACTGTCACCTCCACACTGGCCCCAGGTGACAGCTTGCACACTGTAAGAGCCCAGATGATGTCACTCACACATCACACCCAAATGCTAAAATCTACATGCAGCAACCTACACAGTGTAACCTGTACAGGCCATGTGGACGGGTATGAGAGAAGCCGAGGGAAGAGAACTGTGGACAAACTCTGTGGACAGGCCGTGTGGACAGGGGTGGGAGAGGCCGTGCAGATGAGCAGGGTTGTGTGCACAGGTCACGTGGACAGGTGTGCACAGGCCGCGTGGACAGGCGTGGACAGGCTGTGCGGATGAGCAGGGCCGCGTGCACAGGTCACGTGGACAGGTGTGGACAGGCCATGAGGAAGGGCAGGGCTGCGTGCACAGGCCGTTGTGGACAGGGGTGGGA